TCCACCCTTCGTTCTGGAGAATAGTGATTCTCCTTCGATTCTTCGTAAACAAAATCCACTACAAAAAAGGCTTAAATTGCGGCTGTTTAATAGCTGGGGTCAGTTCCAACTCCCGCAAATTTCGTTAAATAGCAGAGGTTTACTTAACCGACACAATATAAGCAAATAGTGGCGGCTCGAAACCTACGCCATCTGGAAAAAAAATTAGTGCGCTAACATTTCCCACACTTTTTTTGGCTTTGCTCATTTTTATGGCTGAAACAAAATACAAATATTGAGAGATTAACTCAAATATAATAAAACCTCAAAAGCTCCACCACTTCTCACTAACATTTTTCCACAACTCAAGGTAATGGTCTTAATTTTGAGAGATTAACTTAAATTTCATGCTTCTTTCTACTTTCATTTTCTTAAAATCGGAAGTTTTGTGTGAATTTCTCATTCTGTTTGTAAGATTTTAACTCAATCCCCGTTTCCCCCCTTTTTTTCCTTCGATTTTCCTCACTTTTTTCCCTATACAGTGGCATAAGCATCTCTATCACTCACTTTGGCATAGCAATCGACAGGTATCTTCAATTACAGTAAGTTTTTCTACCCTATTTTTGGTTTTGTGTAATGTTATTTCTACAAAATGGGTCTTTCATCTTCCCCATTATTGGGTTTATATAATCTGTAATTTTGGTGTATTTTTCAATTGCATGTGATTTTAATTTTGTTTTTGCTGGTCAAGCACTTGTTAATTTTAGGATTGTAATACCAAGTTCAGACGGTGATGAGCCATGTGGCTGGAAGGGCATGAAGTGTGACCCGAAGTCGAAGAGAGTTGTATCATTGTAAGTATCTACTGAAATATTATTGAAATCATCTGTAATTGTGGTGATATTGTCTTGGCTCTAGCTATTGGGCAAATTAATGTCACGACCCAAATTCTCCCTCTGTGAATCGTCGTGACGGCACCTAGTCTTTACGACTAGGTAAGCCTAACACTTGCGGAAATAAAATAAAAAACATGAAAATTTAACAACTAACAGTAACATATATTTTAATAAGCAATTGAGATGTCGCTCGGCATATACAATAATCAACTCTCGAAATATACACCCAAGACCCAGAACACCATAAGTCACAAGCTTCTATGAAGTTCTAACTGTTCTATACATCAGTGTCTATAGAAATAAGAAAAGAATCAACATAGGGGGATAGATGGGGACTTCGAGGATATGCGGGCGCGGGCATATGTACCTCGAAGTTCTCCAAAATAGCAGCGACTGCAACTAAGGACGAGGCTGGTAAAAGGAACCTGGATCTGCACACAAAAAATATATGCAGGAAAGGGCGTGAGTACACCACAGCGATACCCAGTAAGTGCCAACCCTAACCTCGGCCGAGTAGTGACAAGGCTAGGTCAAGGCCTACTGGTGTATAATAAATAAGCAGGAGAGTATAATAATATAATAAGAGACTGGAATTTAAACAAGGAGAACATAGCAAAGTAGCAACGTAAAACACATGGATAATAGCAGGGGATCTCCCGAGATACTGTCTCGTAGTCCCAAAATAAAAGTGCAAGGAGATCTCCCGAGGTACTGCCTCGTAGTCTCAAAAGTAAATATGCAGGGAGAACTCCCGAGGAACCACCTCGTAGTCTCAAAAGTAAATGTGCAGGGAGATCTTCCGAGGAACCGCCTCGTAGTCTCAAAAGTAAATATGCATAAGGGATCTCCCGAGATATCGTCTCGTAGTCCCAAAGTAAATACGCAGCTCAAACAAATAAGTATAACAATTACATCAAGAAACCTATAATTTAGACTAAGTACAAGTCAAGAAAGAAGCGAGATTTACTAAACATGCTGCAAAGAGCTTAAATATGCAATTAGGACACGTAGACATGCTATTCTAGGCTAACCGGATAACTACACATGCTAGTATATTCAGATAAGATGAAAAACATGCTATTACTCAATAAAAATCAGGTTTTTCCACAAATAGCCCGTGTACGCACTCGTCACCTCGCGTACATGGCGCTCACATATCATAACAACACCAAATCCTAAAGGGATTTCCCTCACATAAGGTTAAGCAAGCCACTTATCTCGAACCAAGCTCAATCAATCGGTAACAATGCCTGTAATGATAGAGTCGGAAGTAACTGCCTTTGTACGAGCCGTAAGAGCATAATACCTAGCCTGGCCTCCCCCTCTACGGTGAACTTGACCACCCCAACCTCCACCTCGAGCTGGCTGAGCAGGTGGGGCGGTAGCTGGTGCTGGAATCATGGCCTAAGGACCCGGTGGAGCATGTGGTGGCTGAGAAGTCTATGAAGGTGCAACCCTCCTAAGTCTGGGGCAATCCCTCACCATATGGCAGGTGACGCCACACTCAAAATAACCCCTCGGAGGGCGTGGCTGTTGCGACTGACTCGGTCCAGGTCTGCTGGACTGGCCGCTAAAAGCACCCCGAGCAGAAGGCACACTAGATACTGGCGGTACATAATAAGGCTCATGGGCCTAGAAGGGGTTGGAACACCACTGGCGGCTGGAAGAGCTGAATGAACGGGGCGACGCACATAACCCCTACCATGGCGAGCTTTTGGGGCACGAGCTCTAGAATAAGAACCAGTCTCTCGAGACCTCTTGGCCTCTCTCTCTTCAAGGTCCCGGGCAAGCATGCCCTCCAATCTCCTGGCAATACTCACAACCTGCTGATAAGGGATATCCAACTATAACTCCCGAGTCGTGCTGAACCTAATATCATGTATGAGCCCCTCAATGAATCTACAGACACGCTCTCTAACTGTAGCGACCAAAGCAGGTGCATGTCTGGCCAGTTCACTGAATCTAACGACATACTCTGACATTGACATAGTGCCCTGGTGCAACTGCTCAAACTCCGCACGCCATGCATCTCGAAGGGACCGAGGTACAAACTCTCTCAGGAACATCTCTGAAAACTGAACCCATGTAAGTGAAGTTGACTCGGCCGGACTACCCAACTCATATGCCTGCCACTACTGATAAGTTGCTCCTCTAAGCTGAAAAGTGGTAAAAGAAACCCACTCGTCTTCGCTACGCCCATAGTACGGAGAATACGATGGCCCTCCTTCAGAAAACCCTGAGCATTATCATATTATGTGTATTGACTTACGTGCGTGGTTGAACTCAATTACCGGGTGATTCGGAGTGATTTGGGACACTTAGTCCCTAAAAATGAAAGCTTAAGTCTTAGAATTTTTTGCCATAGTCAGAACTGTATGGAGACAACTCCGGAATGGAGTTTTGTCGGTTTCGTTAGATCTGTTTGGTGATTTTGGACTTAGGTGCGTGTCCGGATTGTATTTTGGAGATATGTAGCTCATTTAGGCTTGAAATGGCGAAAGTTAATTTTTTGGAGATTTTGACTGGTAGTGGACTTTTTGATACCGGGTTCGGATCCCAATTCCAAGAGTTAAAGTAGGTCCGTCGGGTTGAATATGACCCGTGTGCAAAATTTGGGGTCAATCAGACGTGGTTTGGTTGGTTTCGGCATCGGTTGTCGGAATTAGAAGTTTAAAGTTCTTTAAATTTGAATCGGAGGATGATTCGTGAATTTAACATTGTTTGATGTGGTTTGAGGACTCGACTATGTTCGTATGGTGTTTTAGGATTGGTTGGTATTTGTTCCTTAGCACTTGTGCGGGTCGTTGTTGTGGAGACTCAAGGTAAACCTGTTGCTGTGTTCGCAGACTTCGGAGTCACCTTCAAGTTTTCGTTTTGCACTGTTTATTCTTATTTCTGGATAGTTGTATTTAGAAATTTTATAGCAAACACTCTGTAGAGCTTAGATGTTATTTATTATGGTTGTTATTTAGTAAATGTTAGACTTACCTAGTCCCTAAGACTAGGTGCCATCACGATATCTAACGGAGGAAAAATTGGGTCGTGACAATTAAATATTTTGGAAACAAATATGTTTACAAAATTATCTACATTGGTAGGATATCACGTGCTATTGACTCTATTAGTTATTTGTCTCTGTTAATTTTGACTGCTATAGGGGTTCTGTCTCGCTATAGGATTTTTGTTATCTTGTAGAACTGATGTTTTTTCGCTTGATTAGGAAAAGTTGATTAGTGTTTTTTCCAAAACTTACTATCTTTTGGCTAAGAAAGTGATCTTTATTCTTTATGAAATTTTTATGATTGCTTGTTACTCGGGTTCTTCTCAGAATTCAGTAAGTATTTGATAAGCTATTATAATGTGGATTTAATATGTTCAAACATTTTGAAAGTTCACTTTTTAACCATATTGGTTTCTTATTTTGATATTCTCAGTTACTACTATTTTCAGAGCTATAATCTATCTTAACTTGGTATTGTGGTATGCAGAATAATGTTTTGATCCTTAGAGACTATGCAATCATTCATGGTGTTGTTGTATTTACTAATATTGAGGTAGCCTTTTTATGTGAGAAGTCTTTAGGACAATTGGCAGGTATCAATACCTTACTGGAAGTTCTTAATTTTTTTTGGTTTATTTGTTAAAACATCGTGGCATTGTTGAATGTATAGCGATTGCCTATATATCATTTTCCATGTGGTTGTGAGAATGCTATAATACCAGCTATGAGAAAGAGAACTTCAGTAAATTTATGTGTATATCTTAAATTAGATTCTGACTTGCACAACATTCTTCTATCTTGAAGTTTTTTGTGGATCTGCTTTGTATGCTTATTAAATTTATTCTTCATGCTGCAGGATTCATTATTGAATTGCAGATATGCCAAGGTTCAAGTGTTTGTAAAAAAAGCAAAATCCAGATCAGTCAGTACCTACTTCACAAAGTACTGAATCAACACCTTTTTTTCTGCAATCAACGCCATGCGTGCCAACACCTCCTACCACGTCATTTTTTGCCACAACACATCTGGCCCCATCATTTCAGCCCACATCGCAGGCGACTCCAACATTTCAGTCGGCATCATAGCCGCCTCAAACAGTTCACTCAACATCTCATCCTGCTCCGATGGATCAACATACATCGCAGGCGGCTCCAACATTTCAGCCGGTATCACAGCCGTCTCGATCAGTTTACTCAACATCTCATCCAGCTCCGATGGATCAGGTCAAATCACAGTCGGCGCCAGCAGTTTACTCTACATCACAGCCATCTCGGTCAGTTCACTCAGCATCACATTCGGCTCCAACAAATCAGGAGTCATCACAACCAGCTCCAACAGTTCAGACCGCATCTAGAAAGCATTTTGGGAGCCATTGGACTGTAAAAGCAATAGGTAAATACTATTGACTATTAGCACATATTCAACAGTCCTTTTTAACCCATTGTTCATCTCTTTCACAGCTTCATCTGATCTCTTTTCTTATACAAATTCAAAAGAAAATGTCAAAAAACTCAAAGTCAAAGTCAAAGAAGTGCTAAATTTAACGTGTGAAGAACGTATTATGGTTGATTTTGATTACCTGGATAAACCATTTGGAGATGCACGAGGCCTACTTTCAGGATTTTATGGAGTTTTAGTGTATGATTGCACTTTATTTCCAATCCACTGTGAGAAATGGTCGAGTTTACCTATGCCATACTTCAACCGCGTCTTCGATGAAATTATAAAGGTATAAGCTTTATATTCTTACAACTATATCACTGTTTTTTTCTGGAGAAGGACAACTATATCTCTATTTTGCCTTTGAACTTTATATTTGCATGTAATAGATATGCTAACCAATATTTTATTCTTAAAGCCCAAGTTCTTCTTTAAGACAACCGAGTCAGTTGCGCGGCAATATGTTTATATGTCTATTGGAAAGAAGTGGGCTGTAAATAAGCTTAACTTGTGGAGTGCATCTGAAGACCCACTTAAAAGTAGAGCTGAGATTATTAATAATGTGTCGGATAGAATTCTGCGGGATCAATGGATTTCTTTTGTTGATTACTAATATGAAGATTCAACAAAGGTACTTATGTAACTGCTTCTACTAGTCTTTGTAATTATATTATTATTTGTTCTTCTAATTGAGTTTCAAGTATATTTTACAAGTAATTAGTTGCTCTTCCTGGTTCCTGCTATTTTAATTTCTCATTTCATCCTAGGCATCATTGCTTAAATGTCGTTTCTAGTATATAACTGTGAGTTGTAGGTGAGAATTTGGTAAATAAGTTTTTTTTGCGCACAAGATTCTGGATAGTTGCAACAAGTGTTTGATTCTTTCATACTTTTTTGGTCCTTCTATAGAATATTATCTCTCTATGCCTTCGAGAGATGACACGTGAACTTAAGTAAATTAAGTGGAATTCTTTGGGGATAACAGAATCACTAAGAATGCCATATGCCATATGCCCTTATATTTTATGACAATATTTTATGGTTTTTACGATATGTTATTGATTTCTCTTAACTTTAAAATGTTATTTCTTTGCTTTGATTATGATTTACACCTTAATTAGTGAATTTGTCAATAATATATGAATTAAAATAATTCAATGAATCGCCGAGGTTATGACTGCTAGGAGATTTAAATATAAGATTAAAAAATTAAAAAATTATTTTGCAGAGGTTTCAAACCGCCGCAATTCGTAACTGAAAATTATTTTAAAAAGATATAATTTTAGATTTATAGGGGTCAACCGCCGCAAAGTAACCGCCGCTACTTAGTTTTGGCGATCAGCAAAAAACTGCCGCAAATTGATTGCGGCAACTCTTATTGTGGGGGTTTTAACGACTGCCGCAACAACATATTGCGGGAGTTTCAAATCGCTGCAAACCTTTAAAATAACCCCCGCAATTAGGCCATTTTTTTGTAGTGATCGAAGAGTATTCCTTCACTCTCGATCACCTTATGCGTCTCTATAGTCCCTGACTCTATCGAGTGGGGCTAGTCAAGCTTGCTCGCCGGGCCAGTAGGGCCCCGTTCTCGATATCGATGAGGCTCGGGACCGAGGTTGGATGGGCCGTTTTGTTCTAATAAAGACTTCAGATTTGATCCCTGATGAGGACATGCCATTTCCCGAGAAATGGAATATGAAACGTAAGTATTACTTTGCCTTGAAGATTTAATCTATTATTTCTCCTCTTATCTCCTTTTTTATGGGTGTTTTTGGTGCTGCAGTTGTGGACCAGATGCCGGATGTGGTTCCCCAACTCAAGGAATAGGTCGAGGACCTTATGTCACAGAGACCGTACTCCAAGCGTGCCGGATGGAATTATCGAAGGGTTGGTGGGAGGCCCGTAATCATGGTAAGTTTCCCTTCTGGTTTGATAAGGTTTTGAATTTCTCCTTGTATTGTCGAATTCTTATTGGCTCTATTTTTTTGTAAGTCTCCCCAAGGACGTTGCTATGAGTCCTCTATCTGAGGGCAAGGATGTGCCTCTCAAGTCCCCTTCTCCGAGGCAAGGTGTCGAGAAGAAGAGGAAAAGGGCCCCGAGCCCTCTAGACTCGGAGAAAAAAAAACCAAAGAGGTTTGGCGCGTAAAGCTAAGGAAAGTACCAGCGCCCTCCCATCGGACTCGATCCGCCGACTGAGGGATGAGTCCAAAGAAGAAGAACAAGAAGATAACTCTAAGCTAGTGGATCGGGTGCGAACCGCTTTGCCTCGAATGGAGGAGGCCGTTAAGAATGCATTGGCTGGTACCTGTGAATCAGAACGGGGTGCGGCTGCTTTGCCTCAGGTCAGGGAGGTTGAGAGAGAGACTGGGTCGACACTTCTCGGGAAGAAGGAGGTGTCCCGAGGGATGAGCTTGGGGCTATCGACCTTACCGGGTCCCGTTAGATCTCAGACGCCAGGATACGTGAGGCCAGTATGCTAGAAGGTCGTTCTTACGAGGGGCCTCAGGGGGCGACTAATATCCACAACTTCTTGGATGGGTTAGAGTCCACTGCCTCAAAAGATGTCACTAGGCTTGGTGACTTACCGGTGCTAAGGAAGGTACCATCATCGGGTGCCGGTGGGTCTTTATCGTGATGAAGCTGGTGGATCGGTTCCCTGCCCCAAGTGTTAACCCTAACCGCAAGCGGTCAATCGATTTCTCTATCCTGGAGGATGCCCGGGTTTTTTTTGCCTCCGTGGGGGTTGCTAGCTACCTTAGTTGCTTGGTGACCAAAGAGGACCAATTCGCGATGGATACGGTGGAAACGCCTTGCCTATTCAATGAAGCCCAACACGCTTTGAATCGGGTAACTTTGAGTGTCACTATATTATTTATTTTAAATTTGAAGTTGTAAATAATCCTAACACCTTTCTTTACGCTTGCAGGCCTCGGTATTGCACCATGAGGTTTTTCTCTGAATCCGGGAGGAGTTAACCCACCACGAGGTTGAGGTTCGGGAGCTCACCAAGAAGAGGGATACTTATAAGCTTCTAAGTGAGAAGCTTCAGACCGAGTTAGAGGCGGCTCGGAAGGAGCATATCGAGTGGGCCGAATAGGTAAATTGAGTAATTGAAGATAGGGACAACGAATTGGACTTAGTGGCTAACAATCCGATCCTGCAGGTTCGACAAAGGCTTGAATAAATCGGGTAGCTCCAGGCGTAGATAGACACGATACAAACTGAGGCCGAGGAGTTCAAGAAAAATATGGACCTCATAACCTCGCAAAAGGAAGCTGTCCAAACACAACTAGCGTCGGTTGAGGCTCAACTTTGGGCTGCAAAGGAGAAGACCTCGGTACAGGCCAAGAGGATCGAGGAGCTCCAATCTGAGCTTAACTCGGTTGTTTCTGGCCAAGAGAGCCTGACCATGGAGCTTGAGGCGGCCAAATCTGAGGTGGCCGTGGCCAGTACCAAGGCCGATGCTAAAGTGGCACAATTCAAGGTTGACGTCGAAGCTATTCAGGCACAGGCCAAGAGTGGTGGATCATGCAAGGCGGGGAAGCTCGAAGGGAAGCCCTCGAGGGATTCCATGCTCGGGGCTTTGACATATTGGCGGAAATCGAGAATGTCAAGGTAGAAGAAGCCAAGGCTCGGAAGCTGGATTTTCCCGAGAAAGACTCCGAGAGCTTAACTGAATCTGAAGGTGGAGAAGACCCTGAGGATGAAGATGCTACCCCCGATGAGGACCAGGCCTCTTAGGCTACTTAGGTCTTTAGATGTTTTTATTTTTTGCTTTTTGCATCTTTTTGAGGTCGCTTTGGCCATTGTACATTTTTATATCGGGCCATTATGGCCTTTGTAAAAAAGATTATTTATACAAGGCTTTCTTTCCCCTTTGGCTTCCAAATTTTTCCTTTACTTTATTACTTGTATTCATAAGGGCTGAAACGCCTTAACATAAAGTAATTTAGGTTGTGTTCGAAAGTTCAAACAAACCTTGCCTTTGCCCTACTTTGTTTTAAGGCGTCTTGGGGGTTCGGTGTTACCGGAACCTTTTCCCTAAGTAGGTAGCCGAGATTGTAGTTTGCCGAGGGTAGCCTTTAGAACCAGTTGTGAAAAAGTTTCTTTTTCGAAGGCCTAGTTATTGTTACGGGCTTCGGACGTCTCCGAGACGTATTAATTTGGCCATAGCCTTTTAGTTCGGGAGCTGTCCATTGGACTTATTTTCCCGAGCTATCCGGGCTTGCCCAAGATAACAGTCCCCGAGTGGAGTGGTCGTGGACTTTAAAAATCGGGGAGTTGCCTAGTAGGTCTTATGCCCTCGAGGCCTAGTGACTTGGGCATGCTCGAGTTTTTCGGACGGCGGTCCCCGAGTGAGGGAGTGGTCGTTCGTATTCCGGTTATAGACTGCCCTTGGGCTCGTTATTTTCAGGAGATCGGAAGTACGAAACTCTTTAAGGGATGTAAAGAGAAATGTTTTTAAAACATAAGATGATTGCAAGGAAAGTACTTCTGTTTATTCTTGTGCAAAGCAGTCATACATGCGTACATGTTTTATGCCACAGTTTGAGTAATCAATGTGGGCACGGTTCGTTTGACCATTTGGCCCTTACAATAAATCCTACCTATCGAGACCCTTCCTTTATGAAGTAATTTCCTCGCTAAAGTTGATATTCGAAGTAAATGCATATCTGAGGGTAATACCCCCAGTATCCGAGGTTGATTGTAGAGGGACCTCGGATATTGTTAAATTGACCTTCGATACCGATTCGTGATCGGACTTGATTCTAAGTTAGCGCGAACCATTGTTGTCTCGTTAAAAACCTTACCGAAAAACCCATTTGGGACAAAACCAATCTAAGGAAAAAAGAGTGCAATACGTGCTTTCAGAATTAAAAACTTCGTGCCGCTTCTTGTTGATCACCTGCAAGTGTTAGTCCAAAATAAAAAGGAAATGAAATGGGCCATACCTTAGCAGTAATATCGTTTTAAGTGTGACATATTCCAATTGCTCGGTAATTGTTCTCTGTTCATCATTCCGAGCTTATAGGATCCTTTCCGGTGACCTCGAGAATCTGGTACGGTCCTTCCAGTTCGGACCCAATTTCCCTTCATTCGGATTTCGGGTGTTTAGGGTGACTTTCCTTAGCACTAAGTCCCTGACATTAAAGTATTGAAGGTTGGCCCTGAGATTGTAATATCTCTCGATCCGTTGTTTTTAGGCAGCCAATCGAACAAGGACGACCTCACGCCTTTCATCTGATAGTTCCAAGCTCGTATTCATGGCTTCGTCATTTGACTCCTTTGTCGCATATTGGTATCTGATATTTGGTTTCCCGACTTCAACCGGTATTAAGGCTTTGGCACCATAAACCTATGAAAACAGAGTAGCCCGGTACTGGATTTCACAGTCGTGCGGTATGCCCAAAGGACTTTGGGTAGGATCTCCTTCCATTTCCCTTTGGCGTCGGTTAACCTCTTCTTAAGGTTTTGGATTATGGTTTTGTTGTCGATTCGGCTTGCCCGTTCCCTCTAGGGTGATAAGGTGTCGATAAGATTCTTTTGATCTTATGATCTTCGAGAAACTTGCTCACTTTGTTGCCGATAAACTATTTCCCGTTGTCACACACA